TCAGGTTCAGTCACATAAAAACTCTAATGGTGACTTCAGGTTCATATGCCTCTGGCATAAGAAACCAGAGTTGCTTGGCAGCGGTCTTCTACATACAGCAGCTTGCACATTTATGGTGAGACATTTTGTATTAATTATTATTATTACTGATCAGATACATTTAAAACTGTGCTTTAATGTCTTTTGAACACTTTTAAGCTTTGTGTGCCATTATCTCAGTCATTCTGCAGGATGACTAATATTCTGTTAAATTCCTGTCATTTGGAACCTGCCTTGCTTTATGAAGTCTGGATGACAGCTTTGGAGAGACATTACTATTTACAAGCTAGAAATTCTCTCCTCAGGTATGTGTGAAATGTGCTACATGTGGGGCAGATTAACCCGAGATGTTACTTCTCTCTGCTTTAGCAATCCATCTCTGGCCCTTTACTAGTTTTACAGCTGATAGGAGCGGGCCCTTTAAGGTAGATACAGCTGTCGCTTTTGACATATGCCTATTTTTTACTTACCTTCCACTAGCTACGGTCCTGAGGGTGACTGACCCTTTCCTCCCCACACGCCCATACGGACCTGTGAGCTGCTGAAACTCTCTGGATGTGAAGGGAAAGAAGTGACCTTTCACTCTGCTTTAGATCCTGGTTTCAACAATACTCATGGGCACCTAATGAAGAAATGTCCTAAATTTTAAGTTTCTAGTTCACTGGAAACGTAAAAATGAACTGTACCAGTTTCTGAGTGATGTTACACAACACTGTACATATCAGATACTCTCTCGGAGCCTCAGTTGAACCCCCTCCTCTGCTCCGCACAGCTCCATGCAGAGGATAAAATCGGGCTGTGACACGGCCGTGGCACCGAGCCCTGGAGAACGTGGCAGGGACACACTGCTCTGGAGGCTGTGCTCCATGCAGCTCAGTACCTTCAGAGGACACGGCATCACTGGGGTTCATAAGCAAAGCAGAAGCTGAAGCTACCCATAGCTCTGCTCCTCCTTCAAGTGTCCCCCTGTGTTTATAGGCAGTTATTGTATTTTTAATTGCTACAGAGGACACAGGCAAACCCACACCAGACTATCTGTTTACAACGTAACACATAAACCAGGAAGCTTACATGAAAGCGGCGTTGATTTTTTCACTTACATTTTTCCTTATTCCTGTTGGTTTTAATGACTATTGGTCAACCGAATACTGCAGGTTTGTATTTATTCTTATGACACCCCAAATGTGAAAGCTGTTGTGCAGTGAGCACACTCTTCTGAGATCTGAACAGCTCTGCAGAGGGATGCAGCTGTAGCTGTACTGAAAACCTGCAGACCATCTTCCTAATCTCAAAATTTCAGACTCAAAGGTCGAGACATAGTCACCACTTGCACTGGACAGAGTTCAGTCTATCAGATTACCCCTTTTTAATCCTACGGATGCTTTACTTCAAGTCTTCTTTGACAGTTTGACTGTCATTGTAGAGTTTGGGGACTGCATTCTCTACTGCAATATTGCTTCTGCTTTGTGAGATGCCTCCACTCAATACAGACATTGCCTTGGAGCCTAACCTTTATGACTATGTTTGGAGATAGTGTCCTTTTGATAAAAGCATGCAGTCTCTGGAATAAACAGGTCTTTTGTAAAGTTTCACCATTTTGATCCTGAATGGAGTTTCTTCCTCCTTATTTTCCCTCAGGAGATTTTCTTCTAAATGGACATAAAGGCACTCTAGTCTGAAATTCAGCTTGTTATCTTGGGAATAAGAAAAACATATTTCTTAACTCAACAACATGTCTCTAAATACATAGTTGAACAGGCTAAAGCCTACTGTTAGTTCTCAGAAGAAAATGTTCTGTTTATGAGAACAACATTTTGTATCTATCTGTGAAGGAATACTGGGATATTTTAGCATCAGGGACAAGAAGTGTGGGGAGCTTAAGAATTCTGCATGACATAAGTGCTGCTATCTGTATGCTTGAGAGGCCACTAGATGATTAAATTGGACATAGTTTTGTTGTGCAAGGAGGGATATGGATCCACATGCTCAATGGTTATAGAATGTCCTGGTTTCAGCGGGGATAGAGTTAATTTCCTTCCTAGTAGCTGGTACAGTGCTGTGTTTGGGATTTAGTATGAGAACAATGTTGATAGCACACTGACGTTTTAGTTGTTGCTAAGTAGTGCTTACACTAGTCAAGGACTTTTCAGCTTCCC